GCCAAATTCAAATGGGAAAAATACAAATGAAGACAATAATTGAAAAAACTTTATTTCTCTCATAATGACTGGTTTATAGATTCACAACGATTATAGCGTCTGAGTGAGGCCATATGCTGGTCATATGCTTTTGATGAAGAGTTTAGCAAGTCAATAAAAATGCACATTTTCCTTTGAGATAAAAGCCACCACTCGTTAACACTAAGCTTTCAATATTGTCAAAAGCATTCACAGATTTCGTTGGGTATGATCGTCGTAAGGATCGCACAATATCATATAGGCATGAATGAAGAGTTGATGACTTGTGGCGAAATTTTTCTACTCCCTTCTAACGATTGAACTAAGATTTGAATTTGCTTGCAGATGTTACGGTATATTCTACTGGTCTTGTTGATTGTTATCTGTTCCATAGCAGTATTAATAAAAAGTAAAACATGCGTCAATGGTGATCAGGAAGGAGAGCGGTGTTTCTGCCATGATGGCTGGACTGGTGCCATGTGTCATAGAAAAATGAACTGTGATGGCTACGAACGGCACACGAACGGATCGTGAGTGACTTTATATATACTTCTACTTTGCTTCAATAAACCATCAACTCGCAGATGCGTCATGTGTGTAAATGGATGGACGGGACCGGACTGCGACGCCATTGACTGCAGTGAGCACGGATCGCCTAATTATGATCTTACAAGTTGCCACTGCGAGAAACCTTATTCAGGTATTTTCTTGCATAAATTAGGCCACTTAAAAATTTTCGTATGTTTGACCAAGTTTGCTCAAATTTCTTTAGAAGTGTAACCCTGAATTCTCAGCTATTCACATGCCTTTGTTTTCGATAATTGTTGATTTCAACATGGAACACGCGACTGAGGAGAGTTAAATTTGATAACTCTAAAAACAGCGTTTGCGTGAAGCTGAAGGTTTACGATTAAAATTCCAAAGGCTCGCAGTAAAGAAAGGTCTGTGCTAAAAACAGCCTAACTTCGTTTTTTTGTACAAGGTTGAAAGGTTCGGTCTTCTCGATTTCTGGGTGGGTAAAAAAATATAGCGACAGCATGTGTGAATGTATGATATGAAGCTTAATTTTTGAGAGCAAGTCGGAGATCCGTAGGATGCTCTTAAGCAATGACATAAATTTTCTTCGGATTTTCTTGGGCATTGAATGCGACTCAGATTTTGGCTTTGAACTTGCAGTTAATCGAAGCTACTGCGCTGCACAAGCTGTCTCGTAGAGAGTGTCTATCCAATGGCCCTTTGAAGCCCTATTGACAATATGGAGTGTAGGACTAATCACCTAAGGAGCCAAAATGTAATAAGACTTATGCAAGACAAGACTTAGTGACCTAACATTTGAGGAACGCTCTTGCAGCTCAAGTTTCGCAACGCGCCATTTCCCTCTTTTCGGGTCTCATTCTCTTTCATAGACATATTCTTCTCTCAAATTTCTTCTAGTTTCTTCTGAGTGGCTGCTCTTTTTGATAAAAATGTGAACAATCTTGAAATAAAAAATTTATATGAAATAGAAGGCTTTATTGTCAAGTATTTGGGCAAATGATAGGTGAATAAACACCACTATGGCTACCTTTAAGTGCGCCGTTAGTTGCAGCCGCCGTCAACTGCTTTCCTCTGCAGAGGGTACGAAGGAGGAAAAATTGCTTTCTCTATGATCCTATGCATCAGTCTGCGACCTTCTGCTCTTTCCATTTTCGGTTATGTGCATTTCAAACCACATAGCATTGATTGTCGTCGTTATCTCGCTGTCAAAGCTTGGACATGCTTGAACCTTGGTGTAGAATAAGAAGGAAGATATGCTAATGCGTAAAGCGTGAAAAGAATGGTGCTGAAGCATCTTTCACGTGATCCATTGCAGAAACATAAGTCGACGCTAAAGGGATGCAAAGCACATCTGTAAGGATTGAGCGCGGAACCCTATCAGACGAGTAAATAGTTTTTCAAATTCTTCATGGACAAAGCAGACCACACTAGAAATGGCCACTTATAGCATCCATCCTCCCACAGCAACCAGATAATGGAGACAGTAGATACAAAGTTTATTTGATTTGAAGTGAACAGCTTAATCACGCATGCATGACAGTCAGACTGCACATGAACGAAAACAAGACAAAGGAAAGCCGTAAGCGTATGCATCGGAGCATAATGAAATCTAATGAATTCGCTCTTTTGTGAGAACAAGAGGAACTACCGGCGGCTATGAAGGGCTACGAGCGATTATCGGATGCACCTCGTAGCTGTCCAGTATGGGCACTGTATGGCAATCATATGGACATCAAGATACATACATTTTGTTGGGCTTTGGAGTGGGGGTTTGTTAAAGTAAAGTAAAGCTCTTTTCTATCTTCTTTTCACTGAGCCAACGCAAACACAGTAGCATTCCAGATTTGTTGTGTGGAGGGATTGTCAGGAAGGATCGGCTTCTACGTTCCAAGGCATTGTCCGGTTTTGATCGCCAACGAACGAGCAAGGGCCTTATCAATGAATGTAACATTGATCCCTCCCATCCAGCGCCAGAACGCACCCCAATATGCATACTGTGCGTCCGTGTTTCTGTTCAAGATTACCACCATTTTCCGCAGACAGGTAGACTAGGTTGGGCTAGATTTGACGTTAAAAACGCAGCGTATCTTTTGATACAGTGAGGTTGGCGGCTGGAAGGCCACGATGGCAGCGTACGCCCTGCACGCTTCTGACCTTGCGGTAGCACAGTGATAAAGGCGACTGCCTGGAAGCCGTCGTTCAGATTGAGCGATTCTTGCGGTCAACTATATCATCATTGTCATATTTCATTTCTTAATGCACAGATGAACTCATTATTGTACCAGGCCAAGCTCCGGCAGCGTGCTATGTTGCAAACGTGCGCTTTTATCCCAAATATTGCGGGAAACTGTGCGATCTTCTCAAACTGCTGCTTTTATTGAGAAATATTTGCAGCTACTTAATTTAAAAAAGGTAATAATTGTCATAGCATGCCCTCTATTAGGACATCCAATTTCTTTATATGTATTATGCATGCTCTAATCATGTCAATTCTTTTCCTTCAAACTTATTTTCCGCTTTTTCGGCTTGAAAGACTAGTATATCAAGAATAATTTATCATTTGCTGAGTCCATAAAACCTATTAATATCATTCATCTTTTAGAAAAACTGTTACAGGGCAATTCTGTGAAAAATCTGTGACAAAAGACATCTACTCGTATTACAACAACCTTGTTTCTCGAACCGGTGCTCTTGGCGTACTGGCAGTCATTCCGCTGCTGCTGATTTACGCAAGTGCGTTGGCAGAATTGTACTGAACATGTTTGCAGCACAATATTGTTTGTATTTTTTTCAGCATGCGATCGTTACGCAAAAAGGCGGCAACAGGAGCGAGTTGAAAGGCACTTGATTGGAACAGGCTTGTTTACGCATCCGAATAAAACGGTGAATCCAGAAGCAATCGAATCATTACTGTACAGTGAAAGTGAATAAAAAAGTATGCCGAAAACATTTTCACATCTTTGAGTGACCACACAGAGTTTTCAGTAATCACGGAGAGCGAGAATCACGAAAAAATATGTAAACTTTAGTGAACTAACAACTCAGACATTTGTATCGAGAACGATTCCGCCCTTTGAATTAATTCAAAGGGCGGAATCG